TTTGTGTTCCCTCTCTCGCTGTGTCTTTCTCTGTCAAATAAATAAATAAAATCTTTAGAAAAAAAAAAAGAAGTGTCCACTAATCCAAGAACAACCATAACGGGACAGGTCCATATCGCACAAAAAGAGAAGCCATAATCCTAGACCCCAAAAGAAAGGGTGGTTTTGGACAAGAGTTGCTCAAATCATTGAAGGAAGTCACAAATTGCCTAAATTAGTATTTCCACCCGATCAGTTCATAAAGTTCATATGGTATTTTCTATACTAAATTCCATTCTAATCAGGGGAGCAATGAACGAATAAAATTTTTCAGTAATATTATTCATTCTATAAGGCCTCAAGGTATATATTCTCTTTGCAAGACTTGGCTATTTAGAAACAAGAAACCACTTTCCAAAGGAAGGAGAATATTAACAAAAAACATCAGTAACAAAGAGTGGTTATATCTAGGTGGTATAAATACAGATACTATAAATTCTCTTTTTGGCTCCTGTTGAGTTTCTTGGATTTTATGCAATGAACACGTATTACTTTTATTGTTAGAAAAAGAAAATAGAGGGGTGTCTGGCTGGCTCAGTAAGTAGAGCATGTGACTCTTGATCTCAGGGTTATGAGTTTAAGTCCCACATTGAGTGTGTAGCTTACTTAGAGAGAGAGAAAGAGGGAGGGGGAGACAGAGAAAGAAAACAAAAAATGGTATTTTTAATGTGATCGTCCATGAGGTCTTCCCTTCTCGGAGTAGTCTGTGATACCAGAAACCAAATGAATGGCTTCTTGGAGACGGATTCCAATTCTAAGGTATCGTACGTTTGCCCTGCAGTTTCCCAAAAATTCCAATCTGTAGTGGGCCAGACTTTGTCTCCACTTCAGTTGGCCAGACTTCAATGAGTCCGCCGGACTTTGTTTGCATTTATGGACTAGCATATTTCCGCCTGTAAAAGTCTGTGTTGGAGCTTTCCTAAGGCTTTTTAAACCTTCGTTTTCCCTGACACGGCTAGTAAATCCAGGCAGAAATAATGCCATTGCCCACGAGAGTTTTTGCAACACAGTTTAGTCTGTGACTAAAGCAAGGAACAAGGCTAGAGTGCAAGACCTCAGCAGGAGAAAGGTGCTAATTACATACCTTCAGATCCAATTCCGTTGATCCTCTGGAGGTAAACGGTTCCAGGGGAAATTGCCTGAAAATAAAGTTTTAAAGAAGTTAGAATCCTCTGCGTAATCCAAGTTCCAGAGAAACTCCCATTTGCGCGGGAAGTGAACCCAAGACTTCCTGCCTCTGCAAGTAAAAACTGGATCTTCTCTTTGGGTAGCCTTACAATTTATTTCCTGCCTACGTCACGGCTGCCTCGCCGGCCTTTTCCCCCTCCCTCTTCCAGGTTTAGGATAACACTGACAAAGAGCGCCTCCTACAGGCAAGAATCACAACTTTCCACAACTGGACCGCTCGGGATCTTCCCAGGTTAAACCAAGGGCTCCTACAAATGTACTTTTCGAAGTCACTAAGTGTTCTAGCAATTCCCTTGGATCACTGAGGTTGATGAATCAAAGAAGAAAGAGAGAGAGAGAGGGAGGGAAAAATAAAGAAAGAGAGAGAGAGAAAGGAAAGGAAGGGAGGGAGGGAGGGAGGAAGGAAGGAAGGAAAGAAGGAAGGAAGGAAGGAAGGAAGGAAGGAAGGAGGCACCTGGGTGGCTCAGTTGGTTGAGCGTCTGCCCTCGGCTCAGGTCATGATCCCGGGGTCCTGGGATCGAGTCCTGCGTCGGGCTCCCTGCTCAGCAGGGAGTTTGCTTCTCCCTCTGCCTCTCTCTGTCTCTCATGAATAAGTAAATAAAATCTTAAAAAAAAAAAAAAGAAGGAAGAAAAAGAAAGGAAGAAAAGAAAGAGGGAGGGAGGAGAAGAGGAAGGGGAGAAGGAAGGAAGAAAAAAGAGAGTTTATTTTCCTAACCATCTCCTTCCCCAAACTCACTTAACCTTTAAAATAAAACCCAAAAAGCACGAGAAATAGTGGTCAACCATCTTAACTCTCAAAAAAATAAAATTTTAAGGCAGAAAAAAGGGAGAGAGAGCTGGACTAAAAGCCCATTTGGAGGTATTTGCAGGGAACACATCAGCAGACAAACTGATGAACTCTTTGGCCTCACATCACATTCAAGTGCAGCAGGAAAGAGACTTTGAGGACATTATTTCTAAGAATAAAAACAATACCTAATACTTATATGCCAACTACCATGTGTGAGGCACTATTTTTTCAATTAATCATCCCAAATCTCTAAGATAAATACTATTAGTATGACCCTCTATTAAGATGTGAAAACTAAGACATAGAAAGTTTAAGTAATTTGTCCAAGATTACACTGTGAACTAGTGGGAAAGCCAAAATTTAAACCAGCAAATCTGAGTCACTACACTATAATTCATTCAGCTAATTCAAATGTACAGGGCTCTGAGAAGTGCAGAATCTTAGAAAGATATTTTATCTCTGAAAAAAAGTAAGATTTATGATGCTTTGTTAACAAATATATTAAACTGCCATTTTCATATCCTTGGCATCATCCAGAGAACTTCTATGTTTAAGAAAGACAAGCCCTATTACTCAGCCATAAAAATGAATGAAATCAGGGCTCCTGGGTGGCTCAGTCGGTTAAGCACCTGCCTTCGGCTCAGGGTATGATCTCAGGGTCCTGGGATCGAGCCCCGCATTGGGCTCCCTGCTCAGCGGGGAGCCTGCTTCTCCCTCTCCCACTGCCTGTAGCTCCCCCTGCTTGTGTGCTCTCTCTCTCTCTGTCAAATAAATAAA